CCAGTCACTATCATCGCACACCCTATCAGACTAATTCCCGGCAGCATCTGATCGAAAGCATGTGACAAGCATTTGGTGCAAGCGTATTGAAGTTGGTTATACGAATAAAAGGACGCCTATAATGATAAGAGTAGCGGCGATGGTGTATAATATATAGATGGTTGTTGCTTGCTATGAGACTTGTATCGTCAAATTTTTGTTATTACATTGTGGGTTGTAGAAAAATACATTTAGTATTGCGATAGCCATAGTTACAACGCTGTACAGTTGCATTATAATAAATCCTTAGGTCCAGGTCCTGACATCCATTCATATAGTTTACATATGTACACTGTTTTCATCAAAAACTAAAAAAATACATTGTCATAGTGTAGTTTGGCATTTTAACCCCCGACAAACGTAATTTGTGCTTATAATCATAACTGCATGATTTATGCCAAATACGTATTTACTCTATTTACAGAAAATATTTCTGTACAGATTTTGTTGTAAGTAAGTAAGATGATCTGGACCCCATTTGACGCCTACCTTTATTGGTTAATATGTTCCTTTAGCATTTTAATATTTTATGTACAAATAGCTCAATGTTGAGCTTCTGATATTTTTTGACGTGTTCACAAAAATGTGTAAGTAATAATCCTACTATAAGATAGTAGTTATCAGTGGACATGCCAGTTTAATTTCAAAACTATACGTAACTATATTTATTTTTTAATTTATATGTTAGATATATTTTTATACATTTTTATATCATTTTTATTGGTTGTGAATAAATACTCAATATTTATATTACTTTATGTGCAATTTCGCTTGCAAAATCCTAATATGTTCTTCCCGAGAATATAGAATATTTACACAAACCAATTCCAAGACTTTAATATTTTCTATGCCTCTTTCATTGGTCGCGCACTAGTACCCAGATGTAATTGAATCTCATTATCTGCGTTTAGGATAGTTTCACTTTTTTTGCTGAGAAGTATCTGGATAGCAAGGAATACAGTTACCAGCAGAAGGGGCACTCGCAAATAAACCTTTGATCTTCGAACTTCTAAAGATCCAGACATTTGTTTCTTAGAATTCGGATCCTATTTTTTGTTTGTGTCTCAGTGGAAGATGTCAAACACTTTTTATTGATTGATACAGGCTAGTGCTGTTGTACTTTGGCGCACGTACAGTATAGGTTGTCAAAAAACTGTTTGTAATGGCATGGAGTAATTGTATACTCAGTGAGATTAGAAGTGTTACACCCAGAAAAAATTATTTCAACTTGATTTTTTGGCAATGAGGTAGTCTTACATCAAGAATGAAACGATAACATTCTCACGAAATTTTATTCACAAGTCATAAAAAAATAATCTGTTGGGCGACCTCGCAGCTGAATACACTCCTGTATACGTATAGGCATCGACAAAATGAGATGATCGATGTCTGGTTGTGGCACCTCATTAAAAACAACTCGAACTTCGTGGATTATCTGTGGCAGAGTCTGGGGATGGTGCAAAGTGGATAGTCTCCTCCCAAACATATCTCACACAAGTTCGATGTGATTTAAATCCGCCACAGCAAAACATTAACGCCTGTTTCCTGAAGAAAGTCCGTAAAACGACGAGCAATACCGGGACGTGCGTTGTCTTGCAGAAAAGGGATGTGTGGACGGCCCTCTAGATACAGCAGTAAAGTAGTTTGTCGGACAACATAACGCGTGGCAATCATATTGGCTTGAACAAAGAGAAGGGGTGATCGGCTACCATAGGCAAAAGCGCCTCAAACCATTACTCCAACAGTCCTGCGTACATGGCTCTTAACAAGAAATCCAATATCTGGCCAGTCGCCACGGCGGCGTTTTACCCTTCTACCACCATCGTGCGTACCTAGACAGAATCGCGATTCGTCGCTGAAGATGACATTATACCATTCTGACCAATGATGCCGTCCCCTGCTCCAGTCCAAACGTTGGCGATTATGCTCCGCAGCCAGATGAAGCACTAACCGTGGACGGTATGAAAAAAGTCCAAAGGCTCGAATGCGCCGATAGAATGTACGCATAGCAACAATTCTACCTTATGCTCCAAACCATTGGTCAGCGATCTGACGCGTAATAGCAAAACGGTCTCGTCGGGCTAGTTGTCTGAAGCACCTATCTTGACGCTCCGTGGTACGCCTCGGTGGACCAGTCGGCCTTCTTCGTCTTCCTCTACCTTCTTCTACCCACACACGACACACACGCATTACTGTCATTGCAGGACAGTTAACACGACGGCCAATTTCGTGATAGGACAAACCAACAGGAGGTAATAATTCTACCACTGTCAAAGTTGCTAACATGGTGATTATTTGGATGTCTTCGAACTAGAGGCACTTTGTTATGCTTAACACTAGTAAATAAAAGGGCAATAACTAAAAATCTCTGTACTACTCAGCTCTCAGTAACCGCTTTTTTAACACACCAACTAAGAGATAACATTTTAACAAAGCTAAACAAAAAAAAGATAAATCGTTATAATTTATTATATAAACTTGTTTTTTCTGGGTGTAACACTCCTAATGTCACTGAATATTTATACAGTTGATTCATGTCATTATTTTTATGGCGTAGACAATAGATGAAAAATGTCATTTGCTCAAAAATAGTGACTTGAAATATAGTACTTTTATTGCCGATTAACCACCTGTCGGTCTGTCTTCTCTGTCATGGCGTGATCTCAGTAAACCGCTGCGCTGATTTTATCAAAACTCAGAATACACTGTATGGTTACAAATTTGGAAATGGGTGCAAAGAATGCTGAGGTAAGTAAAAAACAATGCTGTTCATATTTTCAAGAATTTTGTTGTATGAAATTGTATAGTTTTCAAAAACATTAACGCTTGCAGAAACCTATGCAATATCGTGGATCAACATAAAGTCAGTACACACAGTACAAGCATCGTAGGGGCTTGCGGCAAAAACAGTTATTTTTAAAACGGCCAAGAGAAAAACGTGGAAAATATTTTCAAGTTTCTGAATCTGAAAATGTGATATTTCTGTGAATTTCGATATATTAACTTAACAAAAAAATACCTGATCTTTAAATTAGATAATAATCTGAACCTGTTTTGTTTGACAATTTTTGCTGTATCTCTAAAAATAAAGTGGTGGGGGGTGTTCAAAATGTGTCCGTGTATCTTCGAGACGGCTAAGCCGATTTTAGCAAACATGTGCTAGTTGAAAAGAGCTATTCTTGGGCTACAGATATAATATTTGAAGTTTTGTTATTTCACATGTTGCCGCTAGAGAACTTTTTTCGACATTCCGATGGAAATGGTTGATTTTCTCCAAAAAATTAAATCGGTAGGTATGATTTTTTTTATCACACATTTTTCTTTATAACTAGGAGAAAAAATTAGTGTAACATGTGATATTGAATTCGTAGAAAAAAGACGATATCAGATACAGGGTGTACTTTTGTTCATGACATAAAAAAATAAAGGATCAAAAACGAAACGTCGGGCATAAACTTTAAAAACACCATAATGTAATGCCAATGAAAAAGTTCCATTAGTTTTTTGATATTTGTTAAAATAAAGTTAGAAAAAAATGAAAACGACTTGTCTAAGTTTCAATTTTTCCCAAATACCCCAGTAAGCCCAGAAATTTTCTCAAAGTTTCTCAACAGCATGTAAATACGTCCCACAGAACGCAGCTTTTTACTAATTTACCATAAGCTGTATCTCCCACAGGTAATGAGATCCTCATGCATAGGATCCTTATCGTGGACACCCTGTAGAGGTAAGAGTATTCTATTTAAAAAATACATGTTTGCTGTAGCACGAAGTTAGGGAACACCCTGTATATATTAAGATAATTTTCAAATATGCACTAGTAACATATAATGGTTGCCTTGAAAACAGATTTTTGATGTATTTTCCAGTTTGCTCATAAAATTGCTATCCATTTTCGTTGTGAGATTCCGTATACGTAGGTTAGTAGACAATGCCGTCAATGAAATGATCAATTTATTCAAGTATTTCCAGAAAGATTAGTCTCCACAGACCGTAATTTCCTTTAGGAAAGTTGGGTTCCGCCCAAGGTACAGTTAGTTGATCAGTTTATTGATTTTATATAGTTCTGATACGTAATAGGCTATTTTTGGTTTGTTCATACAGTAGTCGATAATCGCCCTGTATAGGGCACTGATAGCAGCTGTCCCGTAATTTCGATCCGAAAAATTTTTTAGACGAAAAGCGAGATAACCGAGGTATTTACTATGGAAACTGACCCAGGGGGGTCAGGAAATGGCGCTTCCACCATGGCAATGGAGATGGAGTCGAAGGAGCAGACCATAGAGGAGTTGAGAGCCGAATTGGAGATGGTTCGACAGGAGCTGTCAAAAAAGGACGATGATAAGAAGACCATTGAAAGATTGATGATGATCAACGAAGCCCAGCAGCGGACAATTAGCGACCTAACAGTTAAATTAGACCTCCTACTGAAAACCCAGGTACCTTCCCATCTAAATATTACAAATTCATCCCAAACACTTCCCAGAAATCCCAGTAAAGACAAAGCTGTCAATCTTAAGAGACCGTTAAATAATTCAAGCGATCTTTCCACAGACGACGATACACTCCCTGACGGTTTTACCAAGGTTAAGCCCCGTAAAACGCGACGAAACAAGACCGACACGACAGGCTTTCCTTCTCTCCCTCGACCAAAATCGCAGTCTGAAACGTCTCATTCAACTGCAAGCGACTCCAATAAACAGCCTGTGCCTAATCTATCGGTTACTTCCACGCCTTCGACATCTCAGGCACCAGAAGACACGACTGCACAGCCCCCACGCAAGGTACGTGTTACCCCCATCGTTCTTCGCGATGCTTCGAGATGGCGAGGCGTAAATCACAAGTTTATTTCTTTGGGCATCAAATTCGAACGCGCGGTTGCCGTCGATGCAGGAATTCGGATAATTCCCAAGTTCGAGGATGATTACCGCAGGATTATTCGTCTCTTCAGGGAGGAAGAGATGCCCCATCACACTTTCCCTCTACCCTCGGAGAGGAACATTCATGCTGTAATCAGAGGAGTACATGCGACACTTTCTGAAATTGAGATCAAGGAAGAGTTGCAACAGAGGGGATATTCCCCCCTGCACATAATTCGCCTGAAACGCGGTGGCGGCGTGCCCATGCCTTTGGTGGTAGTCATACTGCCCAAGATAGAAAAATCTCAGCAGCTGTTCAACGAACACGAGCTGTTAGGTTTGGCTATCCGAGTCGAAGTTCAAAAGAACTCAAGACTCATCGGGTAGTGTCACCGCTGCCAAAAATATGGGCATGCGCAATCTTACTGCACTGCACCACCTAAATGTCTAAAATGTGCTTCTGACCACATGACCCACTTATGCCCTCAAACAGAACAAGAGGAACGAAAGTGCGCGAACTGTGGAGGGGGGCATCCAGCGAATAGCCGAACTTGCAGATTTGCCCCTAAGAAAAATCTGCAAGTGATAGCGCAAAGGCGCAATGTAAGTTACGCGGATGCAGCTAGGGATGTAACCCGGGCTGCCCCCTCTGTGGGATCTTCTGCGAACACGCAAAATGTGGACCTGGCAACCGCGCTAAGGTCTTTACAGCAGATCATAGGTCCTCTGATTAGCGCAACACAAGCTTTGCAGGCGATCTTTCCTGCAAATGGCTAGGTACAGTGACGATTTATCAAAATTCTTTTTTGGAATTGGGTCTAAGGGACATTCCCAAAAGACGGGAATTTCATCAAGCTCTTGTGGACGAAAGTATAGATGTGGCCTTGCTGCAGGAAACATTACTAAATCCGGGAGATCGTCTAGCTTTCCCGAATTACGATGTTATCCGGGCTGATAGATTAACTGGACGGGGTGGCGGCTTGGCAGTGCTAGTGAAACGCGGTATTGACTACCACAGAAGCACAAACGCTGACATGCAGAGCATCGAAGCGGCTTCCATGGTGGTCAATATGACGGGAGGTGTGCCGTTAAAAATCACATCGGTGTATGTCAGGTGTGGTAACAGGCTGCAAGAGGCGGATCTGGAAGTCCTTTTAGACTGCTCGGGTCCACTTATTGTGGCAGGGGACTTCAACTGCAAACATCGAGCATGGCATTCCAGGTTGAATTCCACCAGTGGGATCCGACTGTACAACCATGTGATACGAAATGGCTACCTCATACATAGTACTGAGGAGCCGACGCACCACCCATTTAATCACCTTCAGGCGCCTGATGTTCTTGATTTGGCATTATCCAAAAACTGTAGCTACAGTATCACTTCTCGAATCATGTATGACATCTCAAGCGATCATCTTCCCGTCGTTTTGGAAGTGGCTAATGAGCAGATCTTGGGGGATGAAATCCCTCCAAGGAAACGCATTGATTGGGAGCTATACAAGTCGCTCCTCAAAGAGTTCCCCAATATACCGATCATAGATGATGAGAACGGTATAGATGCGGCTCAAGCAGAGTGGACAAGTTTTGTTCAGCAAACTCTGCAGCGTGCAGCTGTACTTCCCGTGCAGCGACACGGCAGACCTTTTCTGCCAGCAGACATTCGTCAGAAAATTTCTGATAAAAGAGCTGCAATTAAGCAAGCGAAAAGGTCTTGTCATCCTGATGACATTCGCAGAGCGACGAATCTTGTTCACGAAGTAAGAAATGCTCTTCATGAATTCCGCAATGAGCAATGGAACGACTTTCTGGCGGGGATGCTTGACTCAAGCATTCCTCTCTGGAAGGTGGCGAAGTCGCTCAAAAACGGAAAGCGTGAACAAATCCCACACATTCACGGTCCTGGAGCCATTGTCTTCAGGACAGAGGAGAAGGTTGAGGTTTTCGCCGATGCCATGGAAAGACAGTTCTCTCCCAACTATGATCTTGATAATGACCTCGACGAGGAGCAACACATCGTAGGATCTGTCAGGAGATATTTTAGGGCCAACGGCGTCAGTGACAGTCGCGCATTCGTTGGTGATTTTTCTTCATCAGAAGATTCTTCTTCAGAAGCTTCTTCAACCGAAGATTTGCTTAGCACATCAGTGGTATCTCCTGAGATCCCGCATTGCACACCAGCAGAGATTCAAGGTCATATTAAAGACCTTAAAGTGCGTAAAGCACCTGGGGAGGATCAAATCACTAATAAGGCGCTGAAGCTGCTTTCGCGGAAGTCCTTAACTTATCTCGTGGCAATAGTCAATGCCATGCTAAGGATCCAGTACTTCCCATCCGCGTGGAAGACCGCTGAAGTTATAATGATTCCAAAGAAGGTGGGTTCGATATTTCCCCAGGATTATCGTCCCATTAGCCCGCTGTCAGCTGCGTCTAAGCTCGCTGAAAAGGTGATTCTACGTCACCTTGAGAATTTCTCGTCAGATCACCATGTGATTCCTGACGTGCAATTCGGTTTTCGGTCTGAACATAGTACGGAGCTACAGGCGGTTAGGCTGGTGGAATGTGTAACCAGAGGATTCACCCTTAACGAAAGTACTGGCATCTTGCTTTTGGATGTCTCAAAAGCATTTGACAAGGTGTGGCACGCGGGCCTCTTGTATAAACTAATCCAAAAGGGCTTCCCTTTTTGGCTTCTAAAACTACTGAAATCCTTTCTTGAAGGTAGGAAATTTCGGATCAAAATTGACAACGTCCTGTCGACAACACGGCTGATTACAGCCGGCGTCCCTCAGGGTTCGGTCCTTGGACCTATCCTTTACTCACTGTACATCCATGACGTCCCTAGTCCCAGCAACTGTGAAGTCTATCTCTATGCTGACGATACTGCATTGGTGGCTCAGTCGTGGTCTGGTGACCTAGTCCATGACAGGCTGAAAAGTGCGGTGGAGGAAGTATTAGATTGGGCGGATCGGTGGCTAATTAAAATAAACCATTCGAAAACGCAGGCAATCTACTGTACAAAAAGACGTCGCGGCGTTCCGTCTGAAGTTTCAATGAATGGACTTCGTATACCATGGGAATCCTCCGCTAAGTATCTCGGTGTCATTCTGGACAAAGGGATGACTTGGCGGAACCATATGGAAGCGCTAAAAACTAAATTCCAAATTACGTTTCGGCAGCTTTACCCATTATTATGTAAACGGTGAAAATTAAGTTTGATTAACAAGATTCGACTCTATAAGGTGGTCATAAGACCAGCAATGACTTACGCATGTGCGGCTTGGGGTTTTATTGCTTAAACACACATGCGAAATCTGCAGGTTCTGCAAAGCAGGACGTTGCGCACTATTGCTGATACCCCATGGTATGTCTCTAATGAAACTCTACATAGAGACCTCGATGTCCCTTACCTAAAGGACTACATTAAGCAGCAGGCGCAGCGGCGCTATAGCCTAGCGGAATCGCACAGCAACCCTCTGTTGCGTGAGTCAGTGGACTACACAGTCAAGCAAGGTCGCAAGCACAAAAGGCCGCGGCTCGCACTGTAATCAAAATTAACTCGTGAACTTAGAACAACCAAAATTGGAGCATTTTTACACAATCTTTAGAAGAAAAAAATCAAATATTTTTAGACCATATCAAAATCTGTGAAGTGATTTTAACAATGCCTAAACGCTGCCTATCCTAAAAGATTCTATTCTTCCCCTTTGCTCTCGTTCTTCCTTCTCTCCTTTCCTTCCCCTTTTTTCCTTAAAATTGTCTGGTTTCTGGGTTAACCAATGTTGGTTCACAAAAGATATTTACTGATCGATATCTCTTCTCTAACGGACAGTCTGAGGACACTTTCGCACGGGTGGGCTGTCGGCGATCTAGCTATCTTCTACCGCTAAGCTGATGGCTTTGCTCTTCAGAGCTCCCCTCGGTGATGCCGCCGCGCAATGGCCTGTCGCCTCCCATCCTAAAGGTGTCGAACTTCATACATCCAGAACTGACCGATAAGACCGCTCCTTTGTTCCTAGTCTATCGAGATTATGGGGGGGATAATGAAGCTTTTCCAAGTTCTACCAAACTTAAATAGTCGGATTAACAAAGTTTCTCTGAGCTCCTCATAGCAGCGTCGCTGCCCTGACATTCAAGCTTTGCCTGTGCTGCTGCTTTCGGAGTAAAAGAAACTATGAGCGATATACTAATCAGCGAATACTCGGGAATGTCCGAATTTTCTTCGGAAAAGAGAATGAAACCAAAAAACCTTAATTGTGTAGGAGAAACAGTGCCACAGTCAGTCGCAGAAAAAGAATCAGTGAAATTCCGTGGTAACCATTGTAAATATAAGGCAGCGCCATATGGAAAACTAACTCTGTATAAAGAAACCTGTATACTTTTAAGGTTTGCTGGATATCAAACAGCCACCTTCAGGGATGTAGCTGATAGGTTCAATGTTTTCGTGAGTACCCTGCGTGCAGTTATATCCAGATTGACCAACTTTTTGAGTAGTCTGGCACCAGAAATCATAAAACGACCAACAGAAGAAGAAGAAGAGGAAGGATATAGGACGAAGCAGTTTTCTACAATAAAAAATAGAATCCTGGAATCGTCGGCATCATTGATGGAACCCACAAAAATATTGCAAAACCAGATGATGATCCGTTATCATATATTAAGGCGGCTCCCACGCAGTGAGTTTCAGGCCATTTACAAGGGTTTAGCTGCTTCGGAACTGACGCTCCATTTTTCTATATATTTGAATAAAATTTATACAGTATGTTCAGAAGACAATTGCCCAGTGTGCTGTGAAGCCACTTTTCTAAAAAAAAATTGCTCAAGAGTTATGGTGGGTGGAAGTGCAGATAATTGTTGTTCGACTTCTCGATTTTTTCAAAAAAACGAAAAAGTGGCTCTATAGCACCCTGTGGAGTGTTGTTTTTAGTGCACTGTGAAAATTTCATTGAAAAATATTTAAAAATGAAGCGTCAATTTTGAAACGCGAAAACCTCTGCAAATAGGCTTTTACAGGAATTTTATCCACTATCTCGTGCTGCCAGTCGAAGCGGCGGTATGTACGGACTAAGAAAGGACGTATTCAGATAATTTGTTGTCCCAAGTTAAACAGTAGCAGTTTTGATGTCGGTCTTTCGAGATAAACATCGGACCAGTAAGTGACATTTTTAATAGACTTCAATGAAAGAGGGGAAATTATTAATCGATTTTGATCATTTCTTTTTATACAATAGGTCACGCTTCAGAGGTGATCCCACACAAATTTTTTGGAGACTGATTCAGCGCTTTTAAAAAATCAGAAAAAAATGATGTTTGTTCAATCACCCCAATATGGATATCAAATGGAAGCACTTGTACAATACAGTAATACGAAAACAGTTTCAGATCAAAAT